AAGGTTATCTGGCACTTACTCTTCACATGTCTAGCACAAGGTACATTTCATGGTCCTTTCAATAAAGCCATAAAAATGCTAGGTCACCGCTGAAACAAAAAAGTTTTTCAATCGCTCCGTCAGACCATGTCCTCAGAAAATGTTTAAAATCTGCCCTGTGCCCATTGACCTTTGACCTGTGACCTCCAATTTCGGCACAGTGATGGCTTTTCCTACCATGATGCTATACACCGACTATCACGAGCCTAGGTCGAGCTGTTTAGATTTGTGCCGCAATTCTGCATTTCCTCCCTATACCTTAAGTTAAGGAGTGAATGTTCCCCCTTCTTTTACACCTCTTGACCTTTGACCTTTGACCCCCCAGCTTCGACATCCCAACTCGTTTTCGGATTTTTTAGTTATGCTGCAGTTTCAATACTGATTTCTCAGAACTCACAACTCCTGATTCAAAAAAATTTGGTTCCCTTTCAATGCTAACATATTAATGGAGTAAATTGTCTCTGGATTTCTTATGAGATATTACATTTGAGAAGTGTTGGCTTTTTATTTATAATATTGTAGTGTCAATGTCATAAAAAACATTACAGATTTTCATGCATATTTTCAGCTTATTTCCTAAAATAAAACATTAATAATTCCAGGGACCGGGTACCGGTTACTAGTGCATACTACAAACAATGTATGGCTAAACGTTTAGATTTCAACCCTTGCTGCTTTGGAGAAATGTGGAAAAATCCATTTTTCACATAAATTTACAATTTTTGCTGTCACGTAATTAGCGATAAAGTTTCTGTGATCATTTTCACAGTGAGCATACAGAAAAATATATTTTATTAAATAGGTGTGTGATTGATTAGATTTGATGAGCAGTTGTGTTGTAATCCCATAATTTACAGTACTACCTGTCCGTAACCCTGACCACATCTCAGGCTTTCATTTTTAAGGGGCGCGATCGCGCTCGCGCTCCACCGCGCACCATAAATTGTGCCATGGTGCGTGCATCATCGCGCCTCATAAAACTTAAAAGTGGTTGAAATCGCGCACCAAAAGTCTGTGTATTATGTTGAAATAGCGCTCCATTTTACAGGGATGAGAATCTTCCGCGGATCCGCAGAAATCCGCGGATTTTACAGTCCCAGGGTCGATTTTGTGAAACGTCTAAATCCGTTGAGAGAAAATTTTAGGGGGGTTAGAATGTACAAATTTTGATCTTACAGTCCAACAGCCTACTAACAGTACCTTCATTTAATAACATTGTAATATAGTTTGCTTTACAATATAGACACGGCTTAGTTCATTGTTTGAGATTGTCAGACGTTGGCCAGTGTGCGAATTTGCGATTCCCAAACCGTATAGCTATGGAAGAAAAATTGAGCAACGCGATTGGCTAGAAAATGTTTAGGACACGCCCAGTATCGCACGCACACCATCGGCATCTCGCATTTTGCACAGGGGCTTATTTATTTTATTTCTTATTATTTTTGGCTAATTATGTTTTATTTTAGAATTAGGGTTAGGGTTACTAAAGGTTAGGGTTAGGGTTAGGGTTAGGATTCGGGTTAGGGTTATGATTAATGTTAGGTTTAGGGTTAGGGTTAGGGTTAACTAATTTCTATATCTGTGAATTGAGTATCTGTCTCAGTGGGTGAACGCTAGACCGTTTGCTTCGTGATCGTGAGGTGGCGCGTTCGAACGCCATATGGTGTTTTTATTTTCCTCTGCGTTATGTATTTCTTTGTATTTTATTTGTTTCTGCATTTATTTGTTCTGTAACTTTTGTTTATGTTCTGAATTAAATATATTTCTTTATAATATTAGCTTATAATTTAATATATTAGCTTGTTGACTAATTGTAGCAACGCTAATATCACTCCGCGAATGCATTTAATACCAGCTCACACACAAGCTGAGGTTAGGTTATA